CAAGAGAGGCGGTGTACCCTCTGTTGATCACGATACCAGCTGCAATGACATAGAGTGCTGCGATTATCGCATAGAATGGGGAGAGATTAGTCCTTTCTCCTCGGCTCCATCGGCTGTGGAGGGTGATATGACACATGATCGGGAGTCACTATCGCATACAATCTCGTGTTATCGCATAGAATGCTTCGGTGAATGAGCAGATTAGTCATTCTTCACCCCGGAACAGCTCCAGATCTCATAGAATAGACCGGTATGACATATGATCTCTCAGGGGTGACCAGCTATCTCAGAGATTTCCTCGCGAAACGGTCATCACAGCGGACTACCACCCTTGCAGCGTCATTCATTCTGAACTGTCGGTGGCTGCTGTGGACACACCGATCTCACTCCACCGGAAATGTAAAATCGAAAGGATCAGACCCATCTGACTCTCCGACCGACCCGCTGGGTCGCATCCATTCCTTCGCACGCTTCACTGTCTACGGCTGAGGGGACATCTGTGTACAATTAGTCATCTCGCGTAGAATTGTGAATGCGAGGCGTATTTCACTCGCGTGCCGCAAGTCCGCGATCACGGCCTGCAGTATCGCTGGGCCAGTGCACCGCATGAGAGGGAAGGTCCGCGCGGTCCGCCCCCCATAGCTATGGGGCTCAACATGAATTGGCTAGATCGCTTCAGTCCACCAAGTTATGCGTGAAGTGGATAGAAAAACTTTTGCGCAGCAGGGAGGAGGACTGTCTGAGGAAGTGATGGACCCCCGCTAGCGCAATCGCGCATGGTGAGCGCGGATTTATGTCTCGATGCGGAATACATACATGAGGGAGCTGGACATGCTGTGAATTGTGTTGATCTAGATGTTCCTCTACGTTTAACAGAGTAAGGTGCGGCTGAGAGCCAAGTGCAAGTGCGTCGTCTCGAGATCTCGACTACTCGCACAAGCGCCTCACTCGTAGCTCATGATCGGCCTACTTTTCATTCTCCTTCTCCTTGCCCATCTCTTTACCCATCTCCTTCGCGACCCTAGCAGCCTCTTCGCTTGCTTTGACCTCGCGAATCTTTTGCTCGGCGTAGGGGTCAAGTCGCGTGTGGTAGCTCGCATCGTACCGAGGGTCTCCACGGTGCGCGATCTGCTGCTGCGCCTTCTCCGCGATCATTTCCTGCTTCTTCTTCTCCTCTTCCAACCTCTTCGCGTTCTTCTCGGACACGTACGTGTTCAGCTGCTGCAGAAACGCGAGCTGGCGCCCGTCGACAATGCGCTGGCCGAGTTCCTTCACGAAGTTCAGCTGCGCTCCATCTTGCGTCAAAGTTGCAACCCTTTGCAGCATGCGGACGGGCGGGCCGAAAATACGCTCCATATTCTCGGGCAGATTCACGATCGGCGAGAAGATGGACGTCAACGGAAGGTAGAGCATGTACCTGGGGGTTAGTTACTGCAAGCTACACTGAGCGCAGCCGACGGGAGAGGATTTTGCAGACTCGTCCCTCACTGCACGCGGTCTACTCACCCAGCAGGCCCCCAGTTCTGGTAGTGCATGCCCTGTGGCCCGTTCCTCCTCATGCGATCCGGCGCGTTACGAGAAACATGCCCAAAGTCGTAATTTCCATCGTCCCGCTCCAGCTCCTCCATGTATCGGCCAGCAATACCTTCCGTGGTACCCTTCAGTACTATAATGGAGTAAGGAGCGAGCGCGCGCTTCATACGTCCAAAGACGCCAACAGCGGCGGCCTCCTGTTCGGCAGAGGACCGCACACCAAGGGCCTCGTCGTGCCGAGAGCCCTGGAGGCGTGAAAGCTGTTCCTTTTGCGAAGGGAGGGGCTGTCGCATGCGCAGACAAAACATCCGGCACATTGGCGTATCCTCTGCCCGTTGACTGCACCACGAGAAGCATTTCTCGGGCACAGGCGTCGTTTCGGGCGTGAATGCTGGACGGGGATGAGGGCGGGAGCTCGAGCTGCTCCCATGAGCTCCACCATAGCCTTCGGAGCCCATGGAGGGGAGTGCGGAGTCGCTCGGGGTGTGGGATGTCGGTGTGGTTGAAAGGTGAGTGGCGGGATTCGGAGGGGAAGTGGAGGTCGCAGTTGTGCTCGCTGTGGCCGTTGCACGAGCTGGCTGGGGAGCAAGAGAGGCGACCTGCTCCGCCTGCTGCAGGAAGTCACTGAGCAGGTTTGTTCCAGCCTGTCGGCTCAGCGGCGATCTTCCGACGTCGACGTTCATTGTTGCTAATCGTGGTGAAGTAAGCGAAGCCAGGAGGTCGGAAGCGTCTGGCAGGCGTTTGCGGCCGATCAAACGGCGAAGGTCGGTCCAGGCAGACCACGTGTCAACGTCGTCCTCTTGTGAGGGAGTAAAAGATAAACGCTGTTGCGGAAGTTTCCCACGGTAAGCCGCCGTGCCCTGCACTCCGTATACGATGGACAGCGATCACGTGAACGAGTCTCGGCTTCCCCAATTCACTAGTGGTCTGCGTGTACGCGCGGCTGCACTGAACACCTGCTGGCCTGTCGAATGCTTTGACCACCTGATTGATGTCGCCAGCTTGACCTTCGTCATGTCAGTTGCCTCTACAACGTCCTCTGCTTCACACACCCGACGAAAACTCGAGCCCTACACCGATGCCCTCACCGATTGATCAAGCCACCCCACAGCTCTCACCTTCCTCGGACTGAAGGCAGCTCGTGAATGGTGTTTTTTCCTGCGGGACCATGGCGCGCGACACAGCCGGGAGGCGACACGATATGAGGTGCTGCGCTGGCGGTTGGGTCTCCCCGCCCCCGAACGCAAAGTCTTTCTCCAACCTCTTATCAGCCAACCAAGTTCAAAGCTCGCTGCTCCGCGACTAGCTGCAAACTGTTGCTTTGAGAAAACGTCTCTCGCCCCCTGTTGAAGGCGGCGGGGGGAAGGACATTCGCTCGACCCCAGTCGAAGAGACGCGTCCGCTCTCAAGTGCTGGTAAGTCCTGTCTCCCCGTCATGCCACTTGCTCATCTTCGCGCATACGAGTCCCCTTGCCGTGACCGCTCACAGTTGCAGCCCCAGCCACCACACTTTACCTCATCGTCGCCGGGCCCATGCCCATTCCCCAAGTTCCCGAAGGACCCTACTACCCCGACCTCCATGCGGGAACACCCGTATTACCACTGGGCGAATCAGTCGCCATCGGTGGACGGGAGAAGCAGTGAGGGATCATCGGTAAGATTTGACGATCGAAGGCTTAGCATATACGTGGCTCGCTGACACTCAGTCCACTCGGTCAACCGTCCGGCAAGACGAGCCGCCCTCGACGGCGCTAGTGAGTATCACGGCCACTTGAGGGCTCGTTCATTCCCGTATAAACACGTCTGACGATCCTCAGCCGGAGGCGAAGCTGCCAACTCCCGAGAAGGAGCTCGTCAAGGTTAACCGGATCAACCCCCAGCGGGCCCGAGAGGCCAGAGCCCGGGTGAGTATGATACCATCGACACTGCCCGTGAGCTGGCCCGCTAATTAATTAGGCCGGAGCCGCCGCTCGTGCTTCACAAGCACTGAAGGACATGTACACCGACCTTGTTAGCGGCGAGAAGTTTGTGAGTTGCCCATAGGCATTTCGCGGTTCCGTTCTGACGACAGTTCTCCGTCAAGGAGTCGAAGGACGGGGGGTATCGCCTCACCAAGAACAAGAGCATGAAGAAGTTGATCGCGGATGAGAGGGACGTGTCGACTAAGTCGATGGGCCACATCTGTCTTCCGGTGCCAACCGACATTAGAAAGAGCTCGTCGACAGCGCCCGGTCATTCACAGTCCAGATAGAAGACTGCGAAAGCTCCAACTTCGACCCGCGCAGGGTCCAGTCCGTCTTCGCGCGTCAGACGGCAACAACTATCGGTATGGCATCATCCACCTGCCAACGAAGAGCCAAGACAAATGGAAGGAGCTGTGCGTTATGCTCCGTCTCCTGAGTGAGGTTCTAGCGGACGCTCCTTCTTGCCCAGAGCTTCAAGTCTCCACTGTCGTCCGCGACAGGGAGGAGGCAGCAAACCCCTCGCCTCCCCGCCGCCAGCCGTCACCCTCCCACAGTGCCTCAGCCGACGAGGACGACCATATCAGCCACAACAAGAGAGGCGGTGTACCCTCTGTACTCGTGTCGGGCCACAACGATGGCCAGGCCGAGAACAAGGACAACACCGCTCTCATTGAGCGGATGTATGGTGACCTCTCCGGAGTCAAGTCGGAGACGGTCTCGTTGCTTAGACAATGCAACGCGGCAGTGAGCAATGCCGAAAAGGCCAAGGAGTACGGGCAGTTTGTCCGGAAAAGACTGTTGCGCTATGAGGACCGAGTCGAACAACTTGAGGGCGAGCGCGATTCCCTCCACGCCGAGTGCGCCGAACTCCGCAGCAAGATCGAGGAGCAGCAAAAAGATATTGATCAGCTCAAGGCGCTTGTTGAGAGACTGCTGCGGACGAAGGTGGAGGAGACGAAGGGCAAAGGACGATGGAGTAGGAGACGCTGAATTGTACTAGAGGAACCCCCATGCTATGTACTTTAACGTTCCTGTGTCTTACGCTGATAGAGAGCTGATTCCGACAAAGTCCTCTGCCTACTTGAGCTCTTTTGTGCTTGTCGAGCTCAAACACGGAAGATGTAGACAGCTACCTCCCGCCCATATGCAGACCTCTGGGCAGGCAGAAGGATCAGTGCGGAAGAGAGATAGACGTGGTGCGCTCGGGCCTCTGCGCAAGTCAACCCAGTGCGGTAGCCCAAGAAGAGTTGTGGGCTGGCTGACTCGTCGAACCGGCCACCAGGGGACCTCCAAAAAACAACGAGCCAGCGCTGGTTGTGAGAGAGGCAATGCAGAACGGTAGGATACGGAGAGTTTGGCGACCGCGCTTGGGGACGGCACAAGCACGCTCGATGTGACGGCATGGGGAGAGAGTGATGGAGGCCTTCATACGGTGAGGATGCTTCATAGCTCAGATGAGTCCCATACGAGTCTGCACAGTAGTTGCATTGTTTCCAAGAATGGCTTGTACATCCCCATAATTCCTGGTGGGGTTCGATCGGTGCCGAACGACTTCAGGAAGAGGTACAGGGCTGCGAGGTCCACGAGTCGGAGCCGCTGCCAGGTGAACTTCTTATCTTCTCATTGATCGCAGTCTGCTGCTCGTTGAGTTGTCCCTTTATAATCTCAACTGGCTGCCCCGCCCCACGAAGGCATCGTTGCAGTAGCAAGATCTTGGCCGCGCCCGGGTGATCTGTGGTCAGTATAGCAATGCCCGCCGTTGCAACGTTGTTCAGGACAGTGGCAACTGCAGGTTCACTGTCCGACCCATACACTGCAACGCCCACCTTGTCCTCTACTCCCAACGCTGTGGAGCTGATCAGAACAACGTTTTTCAGGCCAACGGTGACCGCGGGCTTCGACTCTGGTCAGGAATCGGCGCTGCCACTTTCGTTCTCAATGACGACAGCGGGGACCTAAGCCAAGTTGACGGCTGCGAGTGGGGCATTTGATCGGGTGCTGCAGCCAGGACAGGATTGAGACCAAACTGAGACTGCTCAATGCTGGCAATGAAGCCGGAAAACACGCGTCATTGGTCGCGGCTCTGCCCGTGCACGCCGGAGGGGTCGACGGCGCGGTCGGGGTCTGTCCGCGCACCATCTCCAGCCACGAGACAAAGTTTATCCAGTGACCATGAGCGCCCTCCTCAAGATTATGGAGCCCGGACTCAAACAATATCTCGTTCTCGGGGTGGCGTTGGGGCTAACTCGGCCTGAGGGTCGACGGTACGGCTGTGGTCTGTCGGCGCATCACTTCCAACCATGAGCAGAAGTTGATCCAATGGTCGTGTGAGCCCTCCTCTACGTCATAGAAACCGTACTCAAAGAGCGTCTCGTTGTTGGGGCTAGAAACGCAAACTCGAAGACTCTCGGGCGAGAAGGTGGTCGAGAACGGGGACTGCACGATTCGTAGTCGTCGACGCACTGAAGAAGCTTCGGGCGGAGCGGTAGCCAGCAGCAGATGCCGCGGGAACGGAAGCCCCCCCCTCAGCCAAGCCCCGCTCGCCGGCAATCTCGTTTACGGCATCGGGCTGACGGATCGAACGGTACTGGGCATCCTTCAAGTAGATCAAAGGCTGCTGTCAGGCATGACTGTCGACCACCAACTCGCACTCACCATGCAGGTTCCCGTCATCAGTGCTTGGTAGATGCCCTCGTGAGCCGCAGACTTTGTCACCGCGGCAGTCTCGACGCTGGAACTAGTCACGTCTTCCTCGTCCTCCTTTTTCAGTCAGCCATCGGAGCGGGGACTCGGTGCAATGGAAAGTGGGCCTTACCTCCTCGATCCCTGGCACTTCCGACTGCTGAAGCACACCATCCGAGTCCTGAGCAGCCAGGCGGAGTCGTGTCAGCAGGGGCAAGCGCACCTCTGCGCGGTCGCTCTTTTCGCCAGTCAGTCATTGCAGGTGGGTTGGGCTCCGTGTAGAGCAGTACTCACCACTACGATGTGCCCGCTGTTCACCGTTGTCATTGACATCGGTGAGGAGTGCTCGTGGGAGGGCTGGGGTGCGGGGGGCGTGACCGGGGCAAAAATATTCCGGGGTCGCCGACTGCCCAATGCAATGGGGATTGGTGTTGTCGTCAGATCTCCGATGTGCCCGGAGCCTACTGTCGTCATAGACATGGGAGATGAACGCCCAGAGTCTTCGAGGCGAGTTGGCGGGGTTCGGGGCGCAAAGATGTTTTTGCGACGGGGGCGTGCGCCTGTCGAGGAGCATGATGTCACATCCGGCGCTCCGTGGTACTGGCGGACATTGTCGTTGATCTCGGGGTTGTCCTGAATCGACGAAGGTACCACTTCAGGCGCTCCATAACACTCGCATGCATCGTCGAAGTTGTCGCCGGCAGCGTCCAGCGAGGACCAGGAGGACTCGGTAAAGGGGCTCGAACTGGTCGGGGCACCGTTCCCGTTGAGGATCATAGGCGACGCGAGCGCAGCGACGACCGTACGAAACTGTGTCTGCACGGCGTCCGCGTCGGCGAAGAGCTGCTGGAGACGCGTGGCCGTGATGGGAACGCCATTCGCGTCCAGGAGGGTATTGAGGGCGGCGGTAGGAGGCTTCGGGGTGCGTCAGTTGGGCAATTGCGTCAAGGCAGCCGCCACATCGGACTCACCATAGTTATCAATGCTAACAAAGAACGTAGAAATGATTGTGATCGTTTGTCTATAACACAAAGTAAGGTGTTTTGCACAAAGGTTGGGTGAGGAAGAAGAAGGGACATGGGTACTCGCGATCGCGCTGAGAACACACTCGGCGGCGAGAGGCGGGAGTATTCCTCAGGCGTGCACGCGGTGGGGGCACAGGTGGTCGCTAGCCGCGAGGGGCGCAGGTCGCAGCACCCAAGGAGAGTGAGCTGCCTGTCTGCCTGTTTGTGCTGGTCGCTCTCCTCCTCGTCAGTCTTTGTTTGCATAGTCTGGGCCATGGGAGATAACCGTGTGGCGTGTGGGTGGGACGCCACTACTGAGGGTCCAAAGACTCAGACCGTCCGCCCGCAGTACGATGGGGCCCCACTCTTCGCGTCATGAGATCGAGGTGGTCATCGGCAGAGCGCAGGTTATTAATTCGAGCGCGTTCCATCCACTCTTCCACAACACACAGCCTGCCTGCAGGTGCGTACGGGGAGGTTCATGACACTCACGAGCAGCTGGATGCATGCAGTACCCAATGACCGAGCGGGCTGTGTTGGATATCTTGCTTTCGACGCGCACCTCCGGAGCGTCTAGGACACTCCACCTCCGCCCTGACGCAGCAATGTCCCTGGTCCAACGACGCCCCTCCGGCTGTAGCCACCCTACGCGCCCTCGACCAGGTCAACGAGCAATGAGGAGCACATGGGCGCACAGCCAATCGCATGCTCGTACACGCTGCTGCACCTGGGCACCTCGCGCCCAGCGACGGTGGGGGGGAGCGACGTGAGATCCGAGGAACACACTACGGGCAATGAGGCGCATTTAGCGGCTCCGTCAACATCGCGACCGAGCCTCAGCCGCACGCAGAGCGCAGAGCCGCAGAGCGCGCAGCCCACAGCCCGCATTGTCGACGTATCTGCGATCTACCACGCAGCGTCCCCATCGGTACGCCTTGTCCGTGTACGTGCGACCCCGGAGCCCGCGTACACTGCCCCGGTGTCACCCATGGCAATGAACGACGTTGCTGGGCTGGCGGTGCGTGGGTCCAGAGAGGTCCGCCTGTCTTCGGCGGCGTCGCGAGCCGGCCGAGCCTCTTTCTGGTTCCTCGCTATCGCTCTCCTTCACAATTTTTTCTTCCTTCCCTTCATTTCGTCCTGGGTCCTCTTCTAGCTCTTGCTCTCTTCATCCTCGTTCTTCTTCGCCTTCCCCGCCTTTGGCCCACCCGGCTCGCAGTCACACGAATGCCGACATGAAGGTTTTCCGCTGCGCTGTGACAACTCCAGCCTGTCTCGCTTCACGACCTTCGATCTGCATGACCCTGTCGCGGACCACCTTTTCGAGCCTCACCACTTCGGACCCCAGCTGCTTGATGCGTACGATGCCTGGCTGGCCGCAGAGTCACAGCCTGAGCGTTCATGCTGGATGACGTCATCGCTAGTGGCTCAACATTGTTCATTTCGTCGCCGGTTCTTGACTCGGCCCACGTCCAAAACAGCAAGGAAGATCCTTCTATGGGTGCTCAGGTTGTTCTCGTCGTGTTATAGGATGTCCTTGACAATGCATAGAGTGCAACTAAAACCTCTGTCTCACCAGGGCTACCATACCTGTACCCGTTGACCCACATCGCCTAACATACACGTCAGTCTCACCCCAACCCGATCAAGAATCTCCAGTGTAGGGGCCGTTTAAGCATGGTCGATCGTTTTCACCGGTTCAGTTCAAGTTCGACAAGTAACCTCATGCATGGAGCGGCACCCGCGCTGTAGGTCACGAACTATAGACTCAAAGAGCGGGAGGAGAAGGGCTCTCTTTCAGGGTATGGGTGATGCCGCGCTGCCACAGGGAGGTGGTACTTGCTGCATGTATGGCACAGAAGTGACGCGCGTTCGAGTTAGGCGCTACTACATACGTGCCGCGCTCATAGTCGCCTGGGGTGTTGACCCCGCGAGTGCGCACGCCATGCGAGTCGGCGGGCGTGTGGTCCTTGTCCAAGGTCGTTGACGCATTGACTTCTTGGAGCTTGAGCTCGGTCTCGCACATGTGAAGGAAAGCAGTGAAGAGCCTCCACTGCTTGTTACTCCTCGTGTGCAGGTGGCGGTGTCCAAAGGAGAAGAGTTCTGACGAGTCGCGAGCTCGGATGACGTCAACCTCGATACCATTGGGCTCATACGTGTATGCGTTGGCATTGTTAATGCTAACGTTGCGGACGCGAACGTAGATGGGTTCACCGTCAAGCTTCAGGTTCTTGACGACAGGAATGGGGAGGGGCAGGTGCAGAGTGTTGACGGGCTCGCATCCAGCCAGTTCAGAGACGCGCTGGCAAACGTCGACGCTCCAGCAGAAGGCAAGCTGTCCTTCTCTCGCAACGAACTACTGTTAGAGGGCCGAAACGTGGCACTTGTCGTCAACTCACTTGCTTCCTTCCGTTAAGGAAGTCGAGGTATCGTGCAGATGTAGTGGCTAGAACCTTCCTTCTGAGAATTAGTACTCTCTTCCCGGGTGGATTCGAAGGCGTTGCTGTGTACTCACATCAGCTGGAGGAGCAGACTCCTTGATGAGCTGCTCACTCTTCGTCTCTTCCTATCACCACCGTGCTCTTCCCTCCCTTCTCCTTAAGCGACAGCAAGCCACTGGTTTAGGGTCAAGCAACCGTGACACTCACTTCAACCGCCATGCCGTGCTGTCTCACCGCCGCGGGATCACCGTGCGCACCGTCACGTCTGCGCAACTGAAGATGGGATGGCGAAAACAAATCCTTTGTAAAAGAACCAATGCTGCCCAGGCTCCGGGACAGCGACAAAGTTTTGCGGGGAACTGGCGGCATCGGCCTGGCATGAGTTGCCGTGTCTGGCGTGTGGTGGGGGTGCTCCGTACGGGTCGACACGGGGGATGATGAAATGCCTGGTTCAGATGATGAGGGTATTGGCGAGGACATTGTGGGCCATCCGGGGTACGATACATGCCACATGCTCCATTCCGCCGCATCTGAGGGGCGTTGAAGAGTTGCAATTGGGGATGGGAGAAGAAGGGAGAGTGGGTAGTTGAGGCGCAAGTAAGTACCGCACCGGAACAAAGGAGGAAGGAGTCGTCTTTTCGGGCGGGTCGGTTTGTTTGTCGGCGAGGGTGGGCGGGGTCTGCATGCTGTAAGCGTGGCCCTCGGTTCTGGCTCAACCGATGGGCTCCACACCGATTCGGCGGCAGTCGGAAGCCCAGAGTCCGGCGTGTCGACGCGATGACTCGGAATCGATCCAGCGAAATCTCCTCGCAAAGAGTCTTCATCATCATGCTCACCTCGACCCACGAGCCCTTTGCGCGCTTCGAGGCCGTTCCTTTACACCGTAGGTGAGAATGTGTTCTCCCGTTTCGGCGAAGATCGTCGCCTTGAGGTCATTGACATCGAACTCAAAGAGAGTCCACGCGGAGTTTCTAGGCTCTAAGTAAAGTGGTTCATGAACAACATTGAAGGAAGAGAGCTACGGGGACTGAACCGTGCATATCCGTTGGACTTGACTGCTACCCTTGGTGTGAGCGGTCTTCATGATCCGGAAGTGGGTCCTGGAACTCCGAGGGTGGACTCGATCCATTGTTGAAGCCTGTTGATGCGCTGATCCTGAAGCTTGCTCTCCTCCTCGAGAGTTTTTATACGCTGCTGCTGGTCGTCTCTCTCCTCCTCGAGAGTTTCTATACGCTGCTGCTGGTCGTCGGCAAGACCTTGCACTCGTCTGATCTCCTCCTCGGCCTCCTGCAGACGGCGGGCAAGAGCCTCGTGAGACTGCTCGGGCGGGTGGCTCTGTATGTTGTCGACGGTGGGGGGGGGGGGGGTT